CACAATCTAAGTCATTAAACTTTCAATTCTCCAGGCAGACCGTGCAGAGTCTGTTTGCAAATTCATTGCCTATACAACAAAACGAGCATTATTTTTTGCCTCTCTAATATTCTCTCTGCTTAAGAGCTGTCTTTCATCTAAATTCTATAATGAATCAGAAATCAGAGCCGTATACAGATAAAAACCTGACATTTAATTGCAATGTTTCCATTCTTCAAACAGGCTTTAGGTTTGTCACTCTTGGGACTAAAGGCCAGGATGGTAAAACATGTAGAAATAGTAGCATCCATGCTGAACAACAGCTTGTGTCCAAGAATGAGGTAAGACCTGCTAGTAAGTCATATAAGGTTTTTAATAGGTCATGAACTTGCACAAAGCCAAGGTCTTGTAGAAAACATTAAGTACGCCCACTTCTAAAAGTGCTACTGTGTCCCTGGTCATCTATTTGTCTGCCTGGCTGCTCCACATTCCTTCTAGTGTATTTATAGAAAGCTGCAATTTGTAAATACCAATTTGTACCATTATCTTCATACATGCCAGGTACTTGTAATACTGAGAACTGGAAATTGTTCTTAGGGCATACCTGAAGTCAGCACAAGGATGATAAATAAGAATGGCATTATACCTGTTAAACAGTGAGTGTAAATGTATAGAACTCTTATTCCTTTCCTGAGATTATTTATTAAACAGTAAGTCTTTCATTTGCTGTGTCTTGCTAAAGCTTCCATCTTAAAGTAAGGGAACTCTTTATGTCGTCATTGTTTAACTCTCACAGGAACCTGCACACGTGCTCGCACACACGCATATGTGTATATATGGGAGAATCAGTGGGGTTTTTCCTCATTTATATGGTCCATTTAGGTCCAAGAGGTAGGTTTTATTTAGCTCCTACTCCATCGCTACTTTAAAATCTAACAGTCTGATTCTGTTTTGTGTGAACATAAATCAAGGATTAACTGAATTACACTGGTAAAATCAAGCTAAGTAAGATCAGACTCTGGCTTTATCATTTCAAGTAGCCACCGGATAGTTTAGTCTTCCTTCTTAGCCTCACAGGCATTCGCTAAAAAACTGTGGTTAGCAGGGATTTTTCATTTACAAGCCACAATTTCTGATAAATGTGTTGGGTGCCCTCTGGCTTGACATCAAAGACAGTTTCATAATGAGGGTGGCTCCTACAAAATTGTATTTCCCCTCAGTTTGCGTGGGGAAGCGGAGCACCTATTACACAAAGGCAATTGTTGATTGCATGCAACTACAAAGGGAAGAGATACAACATTTTGTTTCCTTCATACTTTTAAAATGCAGCTCTTAAAAGCATCCATGTCAACTTGAAAAAAATAACTTGTACTCACTTGCAAGCAACTTACTCATTAGAGTTAAAATGCCAAGGTCCGTGTCTGTGCTGAAGGATGGATATGGACCCTACGTGCCCTGGGAGCTCGCAGAGGCAGGCAGCCCCAGTCAGCCCAATGTGTCTCGCTCTGGCTTGAAACACGGAGAAAGAAAACAAATGTTACTTAAAAAAAAAGGATCAAATGATCACGTCTCAAAAAACATTAAGCAGAGTATGATTGTAAAGTCTTTATATACTGCCTGCTTTTCACAAATCTTCTTCTTTGACCCCCCCCATTTTCTGCTTTCTGCAGTCGCTTGATAAAAACTTCACTTGAGCCTTTTCAACCCCAATCTGTTTGACTTCTTTCAGCAGTGTTTCACATTTTGACCAAAAGGTTAGGGGTATGTTTCCCTGGAAAAACTTGTGAACAACCTTGCCGCTCCATTTTTCCTTTTCTTTTCCCCTGTGGTAGTAGGTTTTAGTTAGTCTTCAAAGAATTTAGTAGTAAAGAATACAAGATAAGGTGCTCTCTACTGAAGTTTGAACATCCCTCTATTCATATATTTCTTTCTGCCAGGCAACACATGATCTCTGGATGTTCACTATCACCTTCCATATGTTTTGGATTACAAGTCCTCTAAATCATTTGCTTAATCTAAGTTATTATCAACAAGAGTGCCTTTTTGCTCTAAATAGCAACAGTGCATGAAGGCGCTGGGCCTTACAAACATTAATAGGGACAGCACCCCACATCCACCAGTAGAAGTGGAATAACAGAATATATTTTGCCTCTTGTAACGCATGCCTCCCGCACGTCCCCAGGTTACAGCAGGCTGTGGGAGAGGAGCAGTGCAGCACAGTCCCGTGGGGAGCTGCTGAGGCTCTGCTCTCCATAACCATAGCAGAGAGAGCCCACGTGGGTAGCTATATTTTTCAGGATGCTTGCCTGTGACCGACTGATTAGTCACTAAGTCTACTCCTTTGCTCACCTGGTACAAACCCAAGGCTGCACTGACTTATCATGAGCTGTGGTCCAAGTTGATAAGGTGAATTTCAGAGGCAGAGACAAGGTCTTCATTGTGCACCTACCATGGTCAGGTTCTCCTCCAGGACAGTGGTCCCCAGTGGTTACCACACCACATAGAGTAACTGGCAATAGGAAGACCTGCCTTCACTCCGAGCTGCTGTCCTCCCTGCACCCAACTCTGCCATCCTTCTCACAAATCTTATGGGAAACTTGGTGGTCAGGGCTGGCAGAAGTACTAAGCAAAATGCCTCCGTGAAGCAGGCAGAGGCAGGGCAAAGCACATTAGGAATAGTTGTATTTACACTGAACTCCTTTATCTCATGTTGGGAGAACATCTCTCAGAGATTCTTCACGAGTGTCTCACTGCCCATCCAACCCGCTTCACTCTCTAAACAGACTTACCCAAGCTCCTCAGCTGGCAACAGGGCCCACTTGTTTTCAGGCTTTCTCTCAGGGTGATGAATGCTCGTGGTGCCATCACGAATTTCACCACAGATTTCTCTTAGATGTGGTGCAAGCTGTAACAACATTTTTCTGGAGCTGAATGCATGAGACCTCAGCTTTCCACTTAAAAAAGACGCACTGAAGTTGGGGAAAGCTTTGGAAAATGACCAGAGATAAAACAGTAGGCTCAGACAAGATATAGGAAAACATTTTTATTTTGGTCTAAGCAAAGACCAAAGCTCTCACCGTGTCTCCGCTACATCCCTCTGGATGTTGGGCCAGAAGTGATGCTGAGCAGTGCCCACTTCATCGCCTGGAGTCTCTTCCCAGTGGTGGGGCTAGTGTCACCCCTTCACCAAGGGGTGCAGCTCTTGGAGGCGCGCTGAGCCGCAGCCCGGCCGGGGCATCGTGGCGCTGGACGGGACCGAAGGCTCAGCACAGCCCCTCGCAGAGCCGCAGCACCCACTACTTCACGCAGCTCTCACTTCTCCAGATGAACTCAACATCCTGCTTAGCACTTCATTTTGTGCACAGCCAATTGGTTTTTCACTGAGGAAATACGCTCGCCCTGTTCAGCGTGACAGATACATAAATACGTACACACATACACACACGTGCATGCACGCACGCGGATGTCAGTCGTTTAAAACCCTGTGGGTGTCTCCTTTCATATTTCTATCTCGTGGCTTGAGGAAGCCAGGAAATGTAAAAAGCAGTCAAAATGTTAAGGCAAAAAAAACCAGACAGAAATGCCTTTTCCACAGAAAATGTGGAGCAGCTCCCAGGCTGACTGGCGCAGACCTGCCAGTTCACTCTGTGCCTTGCTTCCTCCTCCTCCTCCTCTGCGGCTTCTCAGGGGTTTCCATGCCACAAGCGCCAGGCAGGCACTTTGCTGAATCAGACACACTGCTGCCAAAGACACTTTCTGCCCATAAATTCAGACTTTTGCCAGTGCTTATTACAGCTATTAAATTCACTTATTGTAGTATCACGCCTCTCTTATTAAGATTTTAATCAGCATTTCCACTGGAAAGCCTTACTCTCAAAGAATTATAAAACTGCCTGTATAAAGCTGATTACCACTGAAATTTCAAATACAGCTTCTTGGCTCATGGCTACGTTTCTTTCTTGCTTACTTGATCTCTGTTTGCAAAAGCTGATCTAAATTGGTTTGGCAAGTTTGTTTAATTCCAGTGATAAACAATTCCCGACTTAAGAGGCATTTTTTTCCGGTGCGCGAAAAGTGATGGAATGAAATTATCCTGAGTTACCTGCCTACAACATTAAAGAATTACCCCAGATATCTTTTTTTTCCTTTTAAAAGGATATTTTTTAGCTAGGAGTGCAACTAAAGAATTTAACTGTTCACATTGTTTTTAGACACTGAGTATTTTTGGAGCGGTGTACAGTGCTTAATGGTAAGGCAATCACAGGAGGTTAAAGACTTTCAAAATACATACCAGCACCTCAGTGCCAACAACCCATATCACTTCAATGAACTGTGCAGTATGTGTTGGCATGATTTATGTAGCAATTTTAAAAGAATCTGTAGTGTTTGTTTATTACCACAGCATGATTGATGGGTTCCTAAGTGCACGGTGACACAATCAGCTGAGCTATTACAGCTGGGAGTTTGATAATTTGTGAGTTACAGCCGTTACAGCATGTCATTTCAGTCAATTGCCAGAAGTCATTAGGGTATCAGTGACCTCAGAGAAACCGAAGTGAGACGAGACCCGCTGCCGACGGTGTCACCATCTCTCCTGCACAGTCACACAGGCTACGAGCACTTCTGCCAGCTTCCCTGGCTCTCCTGCTCTCCTTCTCGGACCCTCCTTGGTAAAGCCCGGTAAGGAAAACCACCATTTAGCCCGACGAGTAACGCCTTTGGGTTCTGCTCTCCTCCTCATCCCTTCCAAATGTTAAAAAACTGGTACCGATGTGACTCAGACTACAGAGAAAGAAAGGATGCTCAAGCCTTGTCTTCTAACAGTCACTTGCTTTGCGACAGGCAAGCACATAGACAAAGCCACCGCGTACCTCCAGAAACACACCTCTTCCTGGGAGCCACTGGAACAACCTCAGTTCCTTCCTGGAAAAAATATCCCAGGCTTAAGTTTACATACAATACATTATGTCTAAGTCTTCACTGGTTGTAGGCATTTATTTGCAACACAAAAAAAAAAAACGAGTATGAAAAAAATTGTATTTATATTTTATTTTTTTTACAAAAATAAACAATTTGAGAAACAAAAGCACTTTTTTTTTTCCTGACTGTACAAACTACAAAACAGTATGACATTGGTCACTTTAGCACTTACTTTATTGCTTTCACTGAAAGCAAATTCTCTAGACACACCATGCCTGTAAAATGCGTTTCATATAGAATTAAGGCTAGCATTCATTTGCCATTATTAAGGTCATTTACTTCATTCACTCTAAGAATTAGCAAGCGGTGCCTTAGAAAACCAAGGATTTGATGATAAAAAATATGAATAACTGCAAGATAGTCATTAAACTAGTACTGTTCCACCAGCTGGATTGCTTTGCCAGTCTGTCAAAGATGCAGCTTCCTGAACAATTCAAACTCGATTCAACAAAAGTCTTAAGCACAGGCTTAATTGTAAGCATATGCTTAGGCCTATCCCTATTCAGCAAAGCATTCGGCACTTGGGTAAGTCCCTACCCTTTCAGTAGGACTATTCATATGCTTATGTGATTTGCTAGACCTGCAAAATGGCTCTTTTAAATTAAAAATGAAACTTTATGATAACATTGGAAGCAAAAATGAAAATTAGCTACAGTCTTGCAATTCTAAACATAACCAATTCCTTCCTTTGACAAATACGCCGGCATTGCATATTTGATAGCTTTAACGCAAATGCTGATTGTCTTCAGAAACGTTTGCTATTCAGCTTACAAACTGATATGCTTCACTTACTCTGTTGTGATTGTACATGCCCAAATAAATATCAGCACGGAGGATACAGGCTTCCCACAGAAATGATCAACTTTCACCCCTGTGCACACATGCACAGGTCAGAAACATTACACTAACCTTGGTTAGAAAATCCAGAGCTGCCAGCTGATTTATAACCAAAATTATACCCTAACAGTGTATCATATCTTGTATTTTGCTTTGTTTTAAAAAAAATCACATTTTCAAAATGTCGTTTTATTGCACATTCATCCTGGTCATGCAGGTTATTTCTTTAAAGTTTTGTTTAGCACTCTATAGATTAGAATGAGTAATAGTGCAATTATCTCTCCGGCCATAGCCGCCTTATACCTAACAGCTGCCTATATTTATACACAAACAGCCCTTGTCACTCACGCGTCAGACTGAGCCACTTTAGGTGTCAGTCTGTCACCTTCACATATGTTATCTTGTCAGGATCAGGCATGATATGATTTGAGGCCATCTTGAAGAAGACAAGCTGCCGACCTGCACCAAATAGGAAAAGGGGGGCGGGAAAGAAAAAAAGTTATTTAGAAGTGATGAGCAAAAGGTTGCAAACTTCAAAATATTGACATTTCATATTCTTCTTCAACCTGTGCATTCTTTGGGCAACCCAAGAGTGAACTCTTTCTTAACCTCACCTGGTATAAAACTGAGATGCTTAAAACGACACCGAATCTCCCCTGCCTTCAGTAGGTTTACTCTTATCTAATTACGGTCAAGATACCGCTGCGCACAGCTAACACAGTAAATGAAGGAAAGGTCTGAAGAGTCTAATACAAATTTCACACGGCCTTAAAAAAATGTATTTCAAGACTCTCCCACTGATAAAAACAGGCTTGGGTCCAGGGCATTCCTTTGATTGTATAGGAGCAGAATCATCTTTGCGTGCTTGAATCTTTGCAAAACTCATCAGTGCAATGTATGTTAAACGTGACTTTCTCTGAAATAGCTCTTGCTGATCACTTCATAGCTCCGGGTTTTAAACAAGCTGGAACAAGGTTTCTACTCCTCATACAAAGAGCACCAGCAAGCGCTAACAGCCTGGGCAGCGTAAGGCACCTGCCACACACACATCCACAGCCAGCGAGGTCTGAATTTGGTGAGGTTTCACTCAGCGGTATTTGTGGCAGCTGCAGCACAGTTCTTGTATCTCCCCGTGCCTACTGACCTGACATCTTGTTCACACCCCGGCCTCTCGATGAGTACCTGCCATCCCGCGGACCCGCAGTGTCATTGCCTTTCCTTGGAGCAGAGGCCACGGAGAGATTTTCCACAGCTAGTCAACCTCTGCCTTCCCTCTCTCTAAACTCCAGAAAAATCAAATGCTATTTACTCCCAGCCTGCCTCTCTAGGGGGCTCCCATAACACTGTTTTTCTTAAAAAGTAGCACACGGCAAATGGGATGCCTCAACAGCAGTTGCTCAGTAGAGCAAATTTCCATGCTGCAGATTTCAGGGAGTTGAGTGCTCATGCATCAGGAACAGCATGGTAAAGGGAATGATAAGTAAGGCTAGAAATACTGCTACTGTGCCTCATTTGCTTTTATTATTATAATCCAAGACAGAAGCTGCTCTAAAGTTCCTATGAATTTCCCTGTGCCATAATAATTATTTTTTTAGTATATTAATTAACTTCAATAGTCTGACTATAAATAGTCTGACATGATGACCTAGTAGTCACTGGTTAGCCACAGGCAAGGTTAACATAGTTTTTTCTAGGTTCCATGGAAGTCTCTATTCAAACCTCTCAGAAGCACAAGAAATGCAGAAAGCCGTAGCAGTATGCTGCCTAAAACACTCTGAAACGTATGAACTGTCTGAAGTTGCTACTCATTTGTGATGCTTTCAGAGCTGGGGACCTGCTGGGCATGTATATAGGCCTGGCTTTGGCGTGTATTTACGTTGCTCAACTAAGCACAACTAAAGCACCCAACTGCACACAGGGTAAATTTTGACTTTAAGGTGAAGACATCTTGTGATCGCAGATGTACAGACAGAAAGCTGAGCCTCAGAGCCTAAATAACCTGCCACACTGAAGTCTGTGGCAGAGCAAGGACTTCAGTCAGCTTTTCTTAGGTTTGGCTAGCACCAGCCACCCTTCCTCTCACGGAGCCGACCTGGCCCTAGCAATTGCAAGTAGGGAGACAGCCCTGTACGTCTGGAGATGACACACAGAAGAAAAAACTCACCCCGACTTCAGTGTGGGTTTTATCTCAGGGGAAGATTACAGAAGAACACGGATTTGGCCCACTGCACCTTCTAGGCATAAACATGTCTTTTTTCTTTACCCTCCAAGGGGTGCAGCGTGGTGAGGGGAACACGGCAAGCTGAGCTGGCTGGGGCCAGCCGTGGGGCATGCAGCGAAGGGGCATGGGGTTGGGAGCCGACTGTGGCATTCAGCTCTTCGAACCCCTCAGCCACTGTGGAGCTGCAGCTACCTCAGATTTTTAGCAGAGACTTGTAACATTTTTGTTTCTCAGATTGCTCTAGAGTTGCCTGAAATAGGCGCAAGTCTGGTGCAGAAGCAGCGAGCCAGGGCCAATTCTCCGCTTGATGTCAATCGGCACTGACTGCCTGCCTTCAGGGGAACCACACGGGGACTGCCAGGCCCACAGACCTCTTGGAAAATGCATTTCTCTTTTCAACAAGTGTATGCTGTTAGACAAGAAAATGAGTTGTGGTAGAAAATGGGATTTTCCCCTGGAAGTTCTACTTACTTCTACTTCTACCTCTACTTCTACTTCTATCTGGTTCTTCTTCTAACCCTCCCTCCTCACTGCCCTTTAGCCAAAGCCCTACTGCTAGACGCACAGTGTTCCCACCAGAGGCAGGGCACCTCTGACGCCAGCCGGGAAGTCCCGGCTAGATGCACGGGAGAACCTGTTTGGTTTTGTGTCAAACCGCAACAACCATATGGATTGGAAAGATTTATTTAAATCCAGATGTTGGACCACATCCTGCGCATTTAGCTGCGGAAACAGGTCACAGGCTTTTGTTGTTGTTTCTGCTGCTGCGTTTTAAAATAAAATTTCAGCCCCCACGGTTTGGAGACGCATGATCCATGTACTGTGGCCCTCTGGTGCCAGCTCCTTTGAGCCTGCCTGCAGGTTCCTGCTCCCCCGACAGCAGGCAAAGAGAAGCCCCACCAAAAATCAAACCACCTCGGCTGGAGCTTCAGAAACTTCGAGCTGCTGCTGGTGGCTCCCACAGCCTGGCGCAGCACACTCCCCAAACTGCATTAAAACACTTAAAGCAGCCAGAATACGTGGCTCGGATGCTGTTTCTGTGCAGCAGCAGCCGCGACCTACCTGTCCAAGTCGTCTGGTTCATTAAGACGAAAGCTTTGCACTGGGAGTAGCTGTCACAGATCTCGATGGCTTCGTTGACATCGAACACGGAAAGGAGGCAGCCCTTATGATGGTAAGATGGCCAGCATCTGTAGTTTTCATCAGGAATAAAAGCTTCAGGCACCCGTCTGTACTCTGCAAATAACCACAGCAAAGCAATCATTTTGAAACCTCTAGCAAACTGCTTGTTTTTAACAGGCAAGGTTTCCTGTAACAGCTTAGGAGTGGGATATATGACGGAAAAGGTGACGGGCTAGACTGTACCAGCCCTGGTTTACTCCCAAACGTGTTTATAGCTCTGCACCTTACTTTCCTTTTCCTTTCCTCCTTTCTTCTCCTCACCTTTTTTTCCAGAAAGCGTCTGTAAATAAACAGTCTGTGCACAAAACCCTTTCCCCTTCCCCACTGCGTAGGCGAGGCTTTGGTTTTATTAGGAGTTTTACAGGAAGAATGTCCCATTGAATAAACAGCATCCACTTGAATGAACTGACTCACTGTCCTACTTCTTAACAGTGAGTGGGATTGTCGGGGTGAGACCCGACCAGGCGTTCCCAGCCCTCCCTCTCCCTCAGAAGAGCATGCTATTTTCCTCTGGCCCCTTTAGAGAAGGAAGAAAAGACAGGCTTTTAATTAAGCAAACTTTTTTTGCTTGCTCAGATTAGCACAAAAGGGGAGTCACTTGATGGGCCCCCGAAGAGAAGGAAAAAAAAAAGTAGCAGGAGCATGTCAGCGTGGTCCTCGCCCAGCGCCTCCGTGCTGCCCTGCCGATTACTCCTCTCCCTTGGCTGCCGTTCAGTCTCACTTGCCTTTATGTGCTGCCTCTTGTTCTCTGTTCACAGCTCCTCTCGCTTTCCCAGCCGCTGACGGGGGTTTCTCCAGTGAATGCATCAGCAAATTCAACTATTCATTTATAAACATTTCTATTTAGCGTCCAGACGCACAAATTGACGGTTCCCCCTTGTCTCTCCCCCCCACATCCTATTCAAAAAAATAAATAACATTCTATATTTCTTCTAATTGTATCTATTATGGAAACCAGAGCTCCCGGCCCTGACTCACAGCCTATTCTTAAGTCACTTTGGTTCAGGCATTTTCTGCCTGACATCGCAGATTCAGCTTGCTAATATTTCAGGCAGCACATTGTACGAACACCACTGAATCAGAGCCGAGTGCGTCTACTACTCTAAACCGCCAGTATTTCAACTGGGAAAAAGAAGCACACATCCACGAGTGCTCGTTCACACCACACAGTCTGAAATAGTGGGAAACAAATGCAGTAAATGCATTCTTTTTTTTAAGCCTGGCTCATTAAAACTAGCATAAGAAACATTCACAAACAGGAAGCAAAATCAGGGCTGATCATGTCCTACTTAAATCAAAGGCAAAAAAGTTTTCATTAATTCAGAAAATGCAGACTCATGCACATGAAGAAAAAAAACCAAAACAAATCAAAACGTAGTTTCACGTTACAAATGGTCATTTCTCCATCAAATATATATATATATACATTTATTCTGAAGAGACGTCAGAGCATAAATCAAACTGCTACTGGCTAGATAGGTAAAGTCTCTTTTTTTTTTTTAATTTCTGTATCAACTGTACAGTGTAACAATAATTGAATGTAACTGAATAATATTCTTTTATCTCTGTATGGTAACTGCTGAGTATTGACTTGTACCTCACAGCCAAGGTCTGTAAAATGGTGTGTGCAAATGAGATGCAAAAAAATCAATTCACCGTTGTCGGCACCATATGCAACTATCTGTATCAGTGTGCGTGCCATGTTCACTGGATATAAAATGTGACTATTCACAACTTTCCTTTGCATGGCTACAGAAGTGCCACCTACCACTGCACCGCGCAAACCCCCACGCCACAGAGGACGTTCACAGAATGACGGCACTTGCTGCAGCAGCAGCAGATGAAGCATCTGCCGGATTCACCGCGTCAGCGGGGAGCATGCCCCGGCCCTTCCCGCAGGTGCCCTCGGAGCCTGCCGAGCTCTGCGCCGGGGCCGGGAGGGAGCTGCGGCATCCCTCAGCACGCTGTCAGGGCGCTAAGCGGAGCAGCCCCACATCATGTCATGTATTTTTCTCCATGCAAGGCAGGAGCCCATCTGGAAGACCCTTATTTTGAATTATCATTCCATTTTTAAACTCTTCTGCACACAGATACGCCTCTTAATATGTTTATAGCACTTTCTTTCTTCTCAACATTGTTCCCACTACAGCTGCCAGGGGTTAGGCTCTCGGCTGATGTAAACAGGTTTCAAAAGAGCAGCAGTGATTTACGTGACCTGAGGCTCTGTCAGAGGTAGGAGATAAAGTTCTCCCTTTCCATTGACTTCTTCAAGGCGATCGAGCCTGGTAAATCATTTGGGCAGCTTGGACATATTAATCGACAGAGTTGGGCCAGCAATAACTGTGATGGTGATGGTGAGGTCCTGGTTTGCGGGTGCAAGAGAGGATGGAAACCCCCACGCCAGTACTTAGGGTGGTCTCACCACGCAGCAGAGCCCTGTGGCTCTCCCTGCTCTCCTTGCTGCTCCCCGCCAGTTCCTACGTGAGGGAAGCCACCACCATCTGCAACGACTCATGGGAACAGGGTAGCATAACAGGTACACAGCAGCGCGACCGACATGCAAAGAGCATTTTCCTTGGCTGGGAGATCATCGAGCGCCAGACAGGTGAAAATACAGCCACTGGAGTCTAAGTGAAAGCACAGAGTCACAGGGGCTCCACAAAGGCAGCTTCTGGCAGCTCCCCTGAACGGGCACAGACCGCTGAATGGCTGCAGTGTGGGGATGTGAGCCCCTTGCCTATGCTGCCTGCAGGGAGGGGAGTGGGATGCAGCGAGGGGGACAGGCAGGAAGGCAGCCCCTCTCCCCGCCTGCAGGGCGGGCAGCAGGGCTGGTTGCCCAGGAGCGCCTTCCCCCAGGAGCATCCCGATGGGAAGGTGGCCACGAGGAGCAGAAAGTGGGACATGCAACGGCCCTGCACCCTGGCTTACGCTCCCAAACCAGCGAGGCGCTCCCGCCGCCCCGGGAAGCCAACACGGGATCTCCTCTTAAATTATCACAGCTAGAACTGATCAGAAATTTACTGCAACACCAACCAACCGCTGGTCTGAGGAAACTGCATTTCTCTCCAAAACTCACTTTATCTCGAGCAGAGCAAGGTAGCTGCCTTCCCTGTTTGCATGGTGAAGGCAAATATCCCTGGAATCTCTTGTTTACACAGCGACAAATTAGGGAGCTGACCCCTTAGCCCTTATTTGTACAAGCTGTGAAGAAAGGCACTCTCTCACAGGACCTAGAAGGACGCTCCTGAAGGATGCCCCTCCATCGAGATGTGCTCCAGCATTGCCATCAACCCCAGGCCGCAGGAGAGATGGGCTTCCCCTGCACCTTTAAATGATTATCTTGGTCACTACAGTGCAGTTACTTGCTTAATTAAGCAATACTCCACTGGTTTAAAGACAGCTCCAGCTCAGTTTTTTTGTCCTGCCAAGACCTGAAACTTGCTTAAATGGAGTCCATGGAATTTGAGGGCTCACGGCAGTAAATCACATCATAAAAAGGTCAAAGTTCTGGTCGATTTCCAGACTAATGGTGTTTAAAACCAATAAATACTTGCCTAATACTATAAATGCAGCCATAAATTTACACTTTTGCGTAGCTTAACAGAAAGTACGTAAAGTCTATCAAGGTAATGGCAAGGAACAGATCAGAGAAATGCAAGACGCTCCTGTCAGTATCGCAATGGAAAAAGAATCCTTTTCTCCATCTACTGATTTTGTGAGGATTGAAGCAAATACGTGTAATGCAGTAAGCCTGATCTTGATGCCACTTATGAGAGGTTTATTCCAGCTTAACATATGGGAGACGATTTGCTGCTCACAGTTAAACAAATAAATCCTACTAGGAAACATCTTTCCTGCCCCGTAAACATTTTGAAACTTCAAAACATCTTGCTATGCTGAATCTGGGCAATCCTCAAAAGTTTTGTTTTGCCATATTTTTAATAGCTTTAAAATATTTTTACAAGTTTGCTCCGGTCAATCAAAATATGCTGTTTCAATTAGGCCAAAATCTTCTTAGGAGTTTCTTACAGTGCTAGCCAGCCCCCCCAGCAGCTATGGCAATTTTTCAAACAAGCATCTTCTCATGACAGGTAAGAGAGGCATCTTTAAAAGCAACCTGCAGCACCACTGACCCGGGCAAGAGCTACAAAAGAAAGTCAATGCTTTAAAATCTTGTTCTAAATTTTTTCCATCAAAAATCACCTATGTTGTTCCAAAGCCGACTACAATCTATAAACATGCTCATTTTGCCTGTACTAGACTGAATCATATAAATAACTCCAGAAGTATATAATAAACTATGTGAAAGCCGCCTGTGGTTTCCCCCTTTTAGCTTGTTTGAATCACCCTAAATCTGACTTTAATCAGTCCTAATGACCGTTTATTTCAGCCACAGCAGCCAGATTGCATTTTTACTACCAACTACAGCTACTCGTTGGAAATTTGCCCAGTTCTCTTTTCTAGTTATCACCTGCCAATGCACCATGGGTCAATGACACAGACGCAGTAATGTTCATCCTTGAGAGAAAAATCATGTTGCTCCTTTTCCTCCCTCCTCTTTTCCTCCACTCTCAAAGGAACACTGGCAGTCGACTCTGAATTTGCTTTTAATTGCTTTGCTTACAAGTAAGCAGAAAGAGCCTGATCTTGCCAATCTCAGCAAAAAGTGGTATTGAGCAGTGTTTTGCTCTACAAACAGTCCCCACCGATTCCCAGGGAGCTTATGGAGAACAGAATCGGATCCCAAATAGACAATAATACACTTATGGTTTTAGTACGCTTCATTTTATGCTGAAATTTTCTGCATGCTTCAATACCTCACATTTAAACATGCTTCTGACAACGAGCCTCGCAAGCCTGTATGCACAGTTGCGCTACGGAAAGCTATTTTTTGGTATGTCTGAGAAAATGACATGCTAGGCCTATCCCGCGCGTCTCTGCTTTCAATCATTGCTGACGAATCCCAACTGTCTGGAAGGACAGACAGGCCTGGCAGGACACGGGTTTGCCGTCAGACCGGGAGATAGCCCTGCTTCTCGGGTGAGTATTTCCGT